TGTCTCCATTCATGTGCTTAGAACAACCACTGTCGAGGTACCGAGTGTTGTTCCCCCTCACTGGAACCTGCATAAGAAATCAAGCATTAGGTTCAGGAACCCAGGTTTCCTTGGGTTCCTATGTAACAACAGTAGGTTTATTCTTTTCGATCCAAATCTGTTCTACATGCTTTTTGTTTTTCTGTACTCTTTTCTTTCTTAGGACACTTAACTTGTTTGTGTCCAGTATTCCCACAGAAATAGCAAACTATACTACTAGGCAGGTCCACATACTTATTTTCCTTTTGGAACTTCTTTTTGAAACCCAAACCTTCTGTTCTTTTGGTTTGAGCTTTGGTGATCCAGTCAGGAACTCTGTAATCTACAGGTTGTTTGCCTTTCCTGGCTTTCTCAAGTGCCCCCTCAAGTCTTGCTTTATCCGCTTTTATATTTTCTAAATCAGATTTCAGTTTTTCAAAATTCGGATATTGAGCAAGTGGAGGAACTTCATCAAGGGGCATTAAGACAGAGTTTCATCAAGGATAGTTGCACATTCAACATTATGTTATCATGTTTTAACCTGTCTATAGTTTCTTTTAAATAATTATTATCATCGAACAGACTAAAGAATCTATATTGAATATCAAATTTCAGATTATCAACCCACTGACTGTTTTCTTTAAAAGTAACCAAAGCTTCATCACTTTTATGTTTAGCTTTATGCAAATCTTTAAGTTCTTCTTGAATTTCCAAGACAGCTAATATTAAGTTTTCTTTAGAGAAATGACTAAGTTCTTTTCGAGAAAACCATACCTCAGACTCTAGTTCCTTCATCTTCGCCTTTTCATCAATTTTGGCCATCAAACATAGATGGGTAATATCCTCTGGTGGTTGTTCTTCTTCTTCCTCAGAGTCTGAATCTCCCCAAGCAGCTAACATGACTTTCTTCACGTTGTCCTTGGTGAAGTAAGGTTTGTAGACTCTTAACTCTTTGGATTTCTCCATGCCCTTAGTCTTTCCTTTCTCACCGTCTGGTAATGGACAATCTTTAATGAAGTTATCTTTTGAGCCACACTTGAAACATGTTGTGTTTCTGGAACTTGCATATTTCTTGTTCCTATCGAACTTCTTGTAGTTCATCATCCTTTTGAACTTTCTTACTAGCATTGTCATTTCTTCCTCATCAGCTTCTGACTCCTCTGAGTCTTGATCCTTAAGAGCCAGACTCTTGTTTTTGGAACTTTCCGAGTTGGAACTCAGATGTAATTCATGATTCATCAATGATCCAGCTAGTTGTTCCATGTTGAACTTTGTGAAGTCCTTAGCTTCCTGCATAGCAGTAACCTTTGATCTCCATCGTTCATCTTGTGGTAGACTCCTCAAGATCTTCCTGGCCTGTTCATCAATCGGAATGTGTATGCCAAGGGAATTTAGTTCATTAATAATATCATTGAACCTAGTAAACATTTCTTCTATAGTTTCCTTTGATTGCATTTCAAACCTTTCATATCTGGACATCAACAAATCAATTTTAGAACGTTTTACCTCATTTGTACCTTCATGAGTTACTTCTAGTAGATCCCAAATCTGTTTAGCAGACTTGCATCCCATGATACGATTATGTTCATGAGGTCCAAGTCCACAATGCAAATACTTTATGGCTAAAGCATTCAATTCAAGTTTATGATAATTTTCTTTATCATAATCAGAAATAGGTTTAGGAACTACCTCTTTCTTTTCATTGGTTATGGTTATTTCAAAATCACCAGCTTCAATAACACGTCAAACCTGGTAATTTTCTGCCTTAATAAATATCTCCATCCTGTCCTTCCAGTAGGTGTAGAACGTACCATAGAAGGTTTCCTCATAAAATTCTGTGTGCATTGTAAAGTTCATTTTATGTTCTGTTTTATAATTTGCAAAAGTAGTCACTAGGAACTCACCTACAATTCACCCCCCTCTTGTATTCGTTTCAACTAACAACTGTCCCTACTTATAAAAACTTGTAAAAATAATCAGCAAACTATTCTTGGTATTTTTGGCAGAGAATGGATGTGAGCCAACCACTAAATAAAATGCCATGTATAAAAGCAATGTTTAGTGTGTGGAAACTCTTTGGCAATTGCTTGTGTCATCCATGGATCTTGATCAGTTATTATAGTTTTTGGTGGTTTTTTCATCGTATCTTAAAATGACTAAATAAATTAACCGAAGTATGTATTATTAGCATGTTTGCAAGTAAATAAGGAGTAATGAAGATATTGCAAGAAGGCAAAAAACATATGGGTATATGATGACAAAAGGTTAAAGATGATGTTCATCATAAATATTGTTATTTCCATTGTTATAATAACTCTGAAATCAATGTTGAATCTTAATTTAATTGACATGTTTTGTTTAAATATTCTTATGTTCTTTTCGTATATCTTTTATGTTCTTTTATATACCCCTTATGCTATTTGTTTTATCCCTTATGCAGGTTTTAAGTTTTTATCTCTTTGTTAATCTTGTATGTGTTCTAGCGCCGATATTGTTTGAATTCAGTCCTTATTTTCTTTAAATTTAGCCCTTATGCTCTTTACATCAAAGTGTTTATGGACCAGCCCAATTGAAGTAAATTGGACCCAAACATCTGCCAAGGTGTGGCTAGCCCAAAAGAATTGAACATGCATCTTATGCTTTTCTTTTCTCTTACGGTAAATTAAAATGTCAAAAAAAATGAGGACGAATTTCCTCAAATACGGTCTAAAAACATCCTTCATTAACGATTGGAAGGTCGCTGGAACATTAGTCAAACCAAAAGGCAAGACCAAGAACTTGTAGTGACTAGTGACCCTCATGACTCTTAAACGATTTAGTGTGCGTCCTAAGATTGATGTGTGATCACCTGGTGCTGCTTTACTTCACCTAATAAGCAGAAGATTGCTCTTAACGACAAGTCGTCGAGTTGACGACTAAGAGCAGTAAGCATGTTTCACTCTGCATATTCAAGCATGTACTACAGCCGTTTTATAATGGTAGAAACATGAACTATACAGTAAATAAGGAGTAAGGACAATAAAGAGCTTAGGGAAGTGGCCAAGTCATACAACCACGAATCTTCTTTTTCCAGTGGTAATTAATTTCATTTAATCCTAAATCACTGTCTGATCTGCTTGAAAAGTGCTCAACTGTGGAATCAAGATTGAGGATTGCTGCAGACGAAGCTCGTAATCATGAGCTCTTTGTACCAGTTGTCTAGTTGAATATGCCTTGCTTAAAAAAAGATCATTCAGGCGGAGTCAAAATCAGAAATTCAGAATTCTAACAGCAACTTGTTACCTTTGTTATGCGAGCCTGTATGACAGGAGAAGTTAAATGCTCCAATATGTTTTTGAGGATTCTCATTGTTATGTTCGGTTGCATAGTAATCCATTTCTCCAAAATAGATCATATAACTCACTGATTATAATTGAAAGTGTACCTGTTGCCCTGTTGGAGATACCCTAAGCCATACAGGGGGAACAAGCTAACAGATGCAAATCATGCAATAGCGAAAACCTCTAAATGCTTAGATGATTCTAGGATATTTCCTGATCTCCTGTTGTATGGATTATATCTCGGGGATTGTAACAGACTTTCTATGGACTCTTCTTGATTTGTCATAATGTAGCCTTGTTTTACCTAAGAGAAAAGAAAACAGAAAGTTTTACTGCAACAGCCCAGGAAAACAAGAAAAGGAACAACATTAGTGACTAATTCATATTTAACCAAGATGTACAAATAGGACTGATGCTAATAGCTGTAAACATAATAGTTATTAAGAGGCTTTTAAGTTTTAACCTATGATTTTGGGTGAAATTTAATACAAATACTTTGTGATGCAAGTGATACAACTTACAAGACATCAACGTTAAGTCTTTTAACATTATAATTATAACATTATCCAAATAGGACAACACCAAACCCCCCAAAAGGTGCTATATTTAGCCCTGCTTCTCAAAATCTCACTTGATGTGTAATTTATAACGGATACACCAAGTGACTGAACATATCAAAGCCAGTAGGTGGTTACAGATTTCAGTTGGATTTGCTTCTTATGTCGAATATCTGCATCTCATTCTTCTTTCATGCTTTGTTCTAGAGAAACAAGTAAGCATAAAGCTGAACTTACAATTTCCTGTTAGAGTTGGTGCTTTTATTTGCTGAATTTCTGCATTTCTTTCTTGCTTCATCCACTGCAAATTCCTGATCCTATCCTAGAGATGGTAATTTTCGAAACAGTCAAACAGAAGAGGAGAAAGGTGAGGTTGGGATTAGCTTTCCTAACAACATAGATCATTCATATTTTCATAATGTTGCCACAGAAAGAAATGTATATTATGAAAGCTATCTGACAAAATGCACCCAGGTGAACGCCATTGGCCTCGCATAGAAGAAGGTAACAGCTGACCCAATTCTTTTTCCATCCTACAACAAGATTTAGGTCGAAAACAGATTTTATCCTCTTACATATAGATGTCTATCTATCGGTGCAGTGTACTCTTTCTATACGATAAATATGTTGAAGTCAGTGACGATGTCAAAGAAATGTTACACTATGTTGTCTATGTATGTCTGTGTTGTCATTCTTGTCAACACCCAAAAAAACTTAAGATAGTAGCTAAATCTTCAGCTCTTAAATTACCCTAGCCGTAAATTGAGAAAAAAAATTTGAAATAAGATACATTTACAAATGCTTATATAACACCAGGTTTTCTTTTATGTATGCAACAAGTTCAGAAGGTTGAAAAAAAATTCAGAAATTTGAGAATGACAATCCTAATGTTGAGCAACATCAACCCACCATGAAAGGTACAAATTACTTCAATAGACATCTAAAGCAAATTAGCCGCCTCACTTGCATAATTGCATAAAATGTATAATTAAACTGTTCAATATGCAAGTAGGCAACAAATATAAATATCCAATTCAGAATTTCACGCAAATTTTCTAATTAGTTAAAACCGTATTATATATCAATATAAACCAAGATCAAAATGTCCATGAAATTGACATCACTTTCATTTCATTGATAGTCCAATAGTCAAAACAGCCTCAATACAATTTTTCTTTTCTACCATTAATATAAACATCAATCCTACCACATAAAAGTTTCTTTCACATCTAAGATGAGCATAACAAATTCCAAAATAAAACTAATTCGATTTCTGCTTCAATCTTGGAGAACTCCTTGACCCATTTGGAGAAACAGAACCCTTCTTATCCCCATTCTTCTTGCTCATTTTTTTAGGAGTAATAGACACAACATCCTTTTCTTTGGCTTTCTCAGATTTGGAACTTTTTTTATCATATCCACCTTCATCCTCCTCTTCATTCAAGACCATAGATCTCCTGCTCCTAGTCAACAACGCGACACCGCCTTCCGAAACCCCACCACCATTGCTCACATCCTTCAATGGGGCCCTCCGATTCGCATCAGCAACCAACTCAAAATCATCCCCAAGCTTCCTCACAAGCCTCCTCCTCTTCTTCATTCCTCCATTTCGCTTTGCCTTCCTAATCTCCATTTCAATCTCCTCCTCTTCCTCATCCTCCTCGTCGTCATCATCTACATCTACATCTTCTTCATCATCCACCACCTTGACTCTCCGCCTCCGCTTCTTCGAAATCGGAGCGGGCGGAGGCGAATCAACACCCTTCAACGGACTATTCTTTATCTTTATTTTAAAAGACTTCTCCCTCTGTTTCCTAAGCTTCTCCACATTCCCCTCGATCTTCCCCTGAAGGCGAAGGCGATTCAGGCAAAGACCACCCATGGACCAGTGAGCCTCACTGGCCCAAGACATGAGCGGATCAAGTACCGGAATCGGTGGATCGACACGCTCATCGCTGAACTTCACGTCAGTATAGAACCTAGGCCGGGGAAGGCTGCGGCCGTAAAATCGGGCAGGTCGAAGAGGAACTACCATTGCTACTGCTATAAGATTTTCTGGGTAAGAGAGATGAGATTGCTGAGATTTGTAAGGTGTGAGAGAATGTAGGGTTTTAGAGAATTGAGTGTTGACAGTGTTAATATATAGAACAGCGATTAAGGTCACAGTGAAGATGTTTGGCGGGAAATATGTGGCGGTAAAACTCCCGCTCTCATAATATTGCGCGCTTCGCAAAATTTTTGTAGTTGGCGCTTTGGGATTTATTCGATTTTTTTTTATTTATGTTCTTTGTGAACAGTGACTTAGTGAGTATATTAATGTTCGATACACAATAACCATATAAAATTAATAATAACAGTATAATTAAAAAAAATACTCTTTTTCCTCTTTCTTAATCAAAAATCTCACTGGAATAATAATAGTATAAAATTATAAAATCAACAATAACAATGTATTAGATGAAGCTAGTGCGATACACGGATTGTTTGAATTTTTCAATATAATTTTTTATATATATAATTATGTGCTAAAATTTGTTATATACTCTCTTCGTTTTTAAATACTTGCTCCATTTCTCCATGCGCGGAGTTTTAGGAAAAATTAGAGAAAAATAATAAAATGTGGAGGTAGTGGGGTAAGTGGAATAATAAAAAATTGTAAAAAGCAAAAGTAGTGGAGAAAATTGGAAGAGAGAGAATATAAAATGAATAAAATATGATTTATGCTGGGTCCAGTAGGTGGGAGAAATGAATTAAATAGAGTTAAACACAAATTCAGGTACTCAATTCTTCCTTTTTTCACCGTTTAGGTACTTAATTTTTTTTACTTTGCTTTTGAATTCAGTACCTTTGGTTAAAGAATTCAGTACTTTGGTTAAGAGAAAATGGGCCCCACCCGATTAAAAAAATTTGTGGGTCACCCTTAATTTGTTTTCCCTTTCTTATTCTTTATTACCCCTTTTTGCTCCCTTTATTCTTTCCTTTTCTGGATATTATGCTGCGTCATTGTCGAAGAACACGAGCAAGCTTGGGCTCGATTCTGGGGAAAACGACACCAAAAGCCGCCATTGTTTTGAGCCAAGCTCAATTACTCATGGATTATGTTGATATTTTGATATAATTTTTGATTTTTTTTGCCCATTTCTTGATGTTATTTGCGACCTAGGTGTTTCGGGGTTTTCTGATGTCCTGCGGGAGAGTTATAATTCCGAGACTGGAACCGGACGCCTGTACCTGCAAAACAACGGAGACTCCTGGTGGTGGGAGCTCCGCCTCCAACGATCAAGTTAGTACTTGTTTGAGGAGTAATTAATGCGGAAAATTAAAGTGATTGGGTCTCTCTGGGTGAGAGTGTTTAATGTGTAATTTTTGTAATTCATGTGTCTCCCCTTAATGAGGATTAAGGGAGGTATTTATAACCTTGGGAAACGTGCCAATCCTAGGTTTAGGTTAACCTAGGGCTGATTGGGCTTCCCTCGGAAGTTGGGCCTGGGTGGCCGGTTTCTCCATTAGGCATGGAGTATGCCACGTGTCATGACATAATAGGTCCAAGGTGGACGAATAAGCGTGTGCCACGTGGCAAGCCCTGACAGTTCCAACTGGGGGACACTTGGAAGAACCTGATTGGCCCACGTGGCGCATTCCGATTGGTGGGAGCAACATCCCCTAATCATTTGCCCCTCACAGGTGGCACGTGACTGGTCACGTGTTACCTGTGACAGGTGTCGCACTGTAACAGGCGACGGCCTGCTACAGGTGTCACTCGACGAAAGGCCGAGAGATTCTCCCGCCCAAATTTTGAATTCTGGAAGTGACCCTTCGCCTTCTCACTTCGCCTATATAAGGGAGTGTTGACTTCAGTCATTTTCACACTTGAGAACTTTGTGAGAGAACATTCGGACCCCTGAACTTGCTCTGACAATTTGGACCTTTTCTGCCTACCGCCTGTTCTGACAAGCCGACTGCAAAGGATTTTCAGAACTTCATCAATCATCACTCGTTCAGGTAACTGTCGGTTCTCTTACTCTTAATTTTCTTTTTATTCTATTCTTTTTTGAAATGGCACCACGGAAGCACACGACACGACCTAGGTTAGTGATCTAGGACTAGGAGTGCCGCCTGCCCTTTTCCGGACCCATCTTTGCCCTTTATACAAAGTCCGACTGTATCTGTGTCTATGGAGAGCATGATGGCCAGAACAAAAAAGACTGCCAGGATCTCAAATTCAGACGGCTCCTCCCACAGGGTGGCGATTAGTGAAACATCTGACCAGGCGCCAGATGTGGAAGTGAAACAAAGCGGCTTGAAAGCCGGAAGTTCTGAGGGAGGAGTCAAGGTGACCCCTTCCCAATTTACCGTTGACAATTCTTCATTCTCTCCTGCTCCTTTTAAAGGAGAGGAGGCGGGCCCCTCCGGGAGAGGGGAGGAGTCGTCCTCTTCAGACTCGTTAGAGGACGATTCCGAGTCTAGCTCTTCTGGCCATGCTTCTTCCGAGGCTTTCTCACGCAGTTAAGAAGGGGGACGATTGGGCGGAGCCATCCGCCTCTTACCGAGAGCAAAATACCCCCTACTACTGCACGGTACCTCGGGGCCGGATCACAGCCATGCAAGAGAAAGTGGAGAGCTTTATCGCAAACCACACAATGGGCCCCAGCTTTTTAGTGTTCGTGCCGGATCCAGAAGACACAGTCGTCTGGCCGGCTGGTACCAGTTATGATGGCGCCTGCTTTGGCTGCTACGAGGCGGCCATCAAGGCTGGGCTGCGCTTCCCACTACATCCAGCTGTTCAGCGGATCTTGGATGGGTATGAGTTGGGGTTATGGCAGTTAGCCCCGAACTCCTGGGTCAACGTACTCGGCTATGTGGCCGGGTGCGAACTGCACGGGGTGGAGCCGAACTTTGAGGCTTTCGCCCACATGAACTACCTCAGCCGGACCCCTAAGGCAGGCGGTACCGGCTGGTATCAATTGACGAGCCACAGGGGCTACCTCATGACGAGAGGTAAAGCAAACAAATGGAAGGACTGGCGGAGCACCTTCCTCATCATTGAGAGTTCAGACACAGAGCTGAACAAGCGCTTCAACAGGTGGAACATGAATCCGCCCCTTCTTGCAGGCGGCCGCAGCATGCCGCCTGTTCCCCCCAAGGCTAAGAAAGAGATCCTAGATAAAGGACTCTTCAAAGTAGAGTCGAAGGTGAACTCTACTTCAGGGGTACGAGAGCAAGTACCCCTGCACTGCGTCCCGAGCTTCAAATGGCTCTACGACGAGTACTTTTTGGCCGCCTGTGGCCTCAGCAGTCGGTGCTCAAGAGGTAGCCGGCCTATCGAATACTCTGTTGTTCCATGCATTTCTTGTTATGACTTTTATTAACTTTGCTATTTGTTTTTGCAGCGGACGCCATGAGCAAAATTACCGCCTCCAAGACTGCGGCGGCCATGTTGCGGGCCTCCATCATGCAACAAGCTTCAACCGACTCCCCCAAGAAGGGGGCACCCTTAGTGGGCTTCGAACCTTTCACCCTCTTTTTGGAGTTGTGTTTATGCATATACTGACTCTTTTCTTATTTTTTAGACGGGCGCTCCAAGAGCTTCTTCTTCCCAACAGCCGGACCCCAAGGCCCGGAGGACGACTGTTGCGAGCTCTCCTGGTTCTGCCAGGAAACATGCGACGGCTGAGAAACAGCCGGCCACTTCTTCTAAAACTCCAGCTGGGCCGCCTAGAAGTATGAAGTTGTCCTTGTAAATTTTAGATTTGCTCCCTTTTTTACTAGGTCTAATCCGTTTGTTTATGCTTGATGCAGCCGGCCCTCAAGGGCCTGACTTGGTCGAGGTGGCCAAGTCTATGATCAAGGTCGTTCCTCCAGCTGAAAGGGAGGCGGTTAGGGGTGTCGGCACCCTTGACCCAGACGGGATTGCAGGGGTCCTTGCTGAGGTCTACTTAGCATATTTTTGAGTATTTGAATTCTAGGACGCCTGTTTTCTTTTTTGTTTGGAAACTAACGCCTGTTCCCCTTTTTACTTAGGCCCTGCTCCGAGTGAACGGCCTTCGCAAGCCGCTTGACCGGAAGAACAAAGAGGTAAAGGCTGCAAAAGCTATGGCCGCCTCTGACTGTGATAAGGCAATGTTTCAAATTGCCCAAAATGAAGTTCTGACCATTGATATTCTTTATTATCAGGCGCAGGCTACCGCCGCTATCCGGGCTCAGTTAGAGGCGGCCCAGAAGAGGAATAGCGAGCTGGAGGCGACCATCAACAATCTCAAGGCCGAGCTGAGACCTCTTCGCCAAAAGATGTCCTCATACGAAACCTTGGAGAAATCCTTGGCGAGCGTAAAGGTACGCCTGGTGGCCCAGGAGAAGAGTCTTACTCAGGAGCTCTCGGAAAAGGCCGAGCAAGAAAAGAAAGAGCTGGTCCGGGAGATGATGGAAGACTCTGCTCAAATCCAGCGCATGACTTGGGGCCGCCTCTTCCCCAATGCCGACTTTGCCTCATGGGAAAAAACGTACCGCCAGTGTTCTGACACATATAATCAAGAGATCCTGGCAGCTGCTGAGGAAGAGGCGTTGGAGGAAGCGTTGGAGGTGGAGGAGCCGATAGTGGCGCTTTTGCCGCTTGGGGGTAATGCATCAAAGAAGGATGCAGCTGAAGCCGAGTCCAGCAAGAAGAGTGCTGACCAGGCGGCAGCTACTAATATTGAAGATCTGCCCCCTTCTTAAGCTTTATGTCTTCTTTCCACGGCCTGCGTGCCGTTTGTTTTGTATTTACCCGGCCAGGGGGCCGGGGCTCTGAATATTTTGCCGGTCTTTAATGACCGGCTTCTTTTTAATGAATTTTTTTTTTGTTTTGCTTCAAATTTGTTCAAGTATTGAATATTCTGATCCAATTGTACACTATACCGACTGTTTTACATGGCCGATAGTTGCAGACAGGTACGGATAGTTAGTCACGCCGCCTATGCCCCTGGACGACTGGTTGTCTGTTTCCAGGATAGACGATCAGTCGGCCATTTATCCAATCGGTATTCGAACCATTTTAAAGACTGGATCCCCTTTAGGCAGGCGGTCCTGTCATTTGTAAAATTAACCAAGTAGGAAAGTGGTTTGACCAAGTAAACGTGATTGTTACCTAGTAGCC